TGCTAGGTAGCGATCACTGTGCTGTTGTTGTTGCACAAATCTCATCCTCACAACTGGAGCTGAGAACAGAAGACGAGCGTGTAGACCGCCAAGAAACAGAGTCAGAGCCAAGGCCGCGAAACGTGTAACCCTGTGACGACCGCTGTGTAGCGAGGTCGTCAACCCGAGAAGCGTCTGAGTGTCCAGTGAGGACAACGTCACCCCGTCTTCCAAGCACGAGCCCCATGCCCAATGTTCTGCACAAGTAGTGCAGCACCCTCTTAGCAGCCTCGAAGTGCTCTCGTCGGTGTCTCCCAGACGCAACGTAGCGAGCCAAGATGCTAAGAGGGTATGCAATGTCAGAAGTAGCAAAACCCAAGTCGTCGACGTGCACGAGGACGTAGAACGGCGTCAGAGAGGTGTCGGTGCGTAGAAACAGCGACAGGTCAGCAGTGGAAGGAGCAAACCCAAGAGCCGCAAGGGTCGTCCTCAGTGTGTCGTGCCCCATCACGGGGCGCCTGGCGGAGACCGTAGGCTCCACTGGGTACCAGGAGAGAACGACCCAGTGAAGCCCGGCGGGCGGCGCAGCTATTAGAGTAGGTTGGTTGACTATCGAGGAAGTTTGGGTACAAGGATGAGAACCCTAAGGGGTTGTACCCTACATTGGCTACCCCACTACAGCCTAAACAGATATGACATGCATATAATTGACACACCCCCATAGGCAAAGTGGGGGAGAGCAATGGGTCACAAGACCAGTCAAGAGAAGCAAAGCCAGCTCAGGGTGGACCACAACGTAACCACACACACTGAGCACAAGCAAAGGGGCCACAAGTGTTACAAATCCCAAGAGGGACTTAGCGAAGGATCGCTCAGGGTTGATCGCAGAGTAGTGTTTGCAGCGGAAGTTTTGAATCTCAGGTCAGAGTGAATGTAAATGACTCAGTTGATAAAGGCATGCATACATCGGGTTTATATAAGAGTACAGGGGAATACGAAAAGACCAAGACTAGCCATGTACTCTAAGGGGTACATTCCCTTATTACAGCGGAATTAAAACCGTGCGGCGCGGGAACCCGTTTTGAACTTGTTCCCGCTCATTTCACTTCAAATGTTTCTGTCTGCATCGGTCTTGGTCGGACGGTTGCTGCGTCGCTTCGACTCTTCTGACTCCTCGACTTCGACCTCTACCAGAGTCGGCTCCTGCAGCATACAGGAATGCCTTCTCATAATACTTCATATCGTAACAACAAGGCCAGTACACATGCAGAGGTATATATGCAATAATAACAGTACAGTGATCTCTAACTAGCAGAGCAAGCATGCAGGTATATATATATATCACAGTACAGACAAAGTCTACAGCAAGTAAGGAAACGTGGAAACAAGGCCTAACAGAGTACAAAAACGCTGATGATCACCTGACGGAAGTGCCTTGGTGAATATATCAGCAGTGTTGGCCCGAGTGGCCACGTGACACTCGTCCAACAACTTCTTTTCGGCACTGCACAGCCTCGCGAACCAATCGCGTCAGTCGATTTACCAATATTTCTTCCTTCCAAATCTGTGAAGCCTGGCTCACAGATTCACTCGCGAGCCAATCCCAAGGGAACCACAACGCAGTGCTGTAGGGTTACAGTAGATTCTAGGTTCCACTGAATCCGAGATTTCAGTAGATTCTAAGATCCCAAGCTAGTCGTTTCTTAGCAGTCTAGCCAAAGCCATGGCCCGATTTTCGTGGCTTCTCTTTGCGCTCGTCGTTCTCCTATCAGCATCGTCCACGTCAGCGCTGGTCTTCACGCTGCTGAAGCGCGAGTGCTTCCAGCATTTCGTGCCGAAAGGCGGCGAGACGGTCCACGTGTCGTTCGTCGTGATCAAATCGGATTACAACTGGGGGGGAGGCGAGCAGGCGAAAATCGATCTAATGGTAAGCAGCCACGAAGTGCTGCCTCATCAGTTCGCGAAGCGAAACGGTTTCTCAGCCCGGTTCGCCACAGCTCGTAGACGAGGCCTCACTCCTCGAAACAAGGGTCGAACCCTTGCTTATAGACGATGCCCTAAAATCGCTCGTCGTGCGCACAAGCGTCAGGTGGGAGACCTTTGGTGTTTAATCCCCTCCCTGGTCTTAGGTTCACGCGCCAAATCGCCAGGTGGAGGATCCCAGGGGCCACGTGGTGCGCAAGGTGGATGCGAATCAGAGGATAACTTCAGATTCTTCTTTCCTCTGCTCACCCCCATTCCAGCCCGCCCTCCCCCCCACCTCCCCACCTCGCACAGGCTCCCGTGAAATGAACGTCCACGTGGAAGACCCCACGGGGCACATGGTGCGGAAGGTGGATGCGATGCGAGCACCAAATATTGTTGTTCACCCACCTTCCCACCCTTCGGCTGTCCCCCATTTCCCCCCTCAACCCTCCCCCGGAAGTCAACCACCACGTGGAGGACCCCATGGCCCACGTGGTGCAGAAGGTAGAGGCGAGGAAGGACGACAATTTCATGTTCACTCACTGTAAGGCACGTATCCTCGCTGCTCCGCGTGTGCTCAAACCACCAGGTGGAGGATCCCAGGGGCCACGAGGTGCGCAAGGTGGAGGCGAGGACGGAGATCAACTTCAGATTCTTCGTCCTCTGTTCACACCCCCACCCCCCCACCGTTCCCCCCTCCTCCCGTCACCCTGTTCCCCCGTAAATCTAAACACCAGGTGAAGGATCCCGTGGGCCACGTGGTGCGGAAGGTGGAGGCGAGGATGGACGACAGATTCTGATTCTTCGTCCTCTGTTCGCGCCCCCACTCCACCCGCTCCTTCCCCCCTCCCCCCCTCTCCGCTTCCCCCCGTGAGTTCAACCACCAGGTGGATGACTCAAGAGGCCACGTGCTACGGAAGATAGAGGCGAGGACGGACGACAGCTTCATGGTCACCGCTGCCGTTGATGGCTTCTTCAAGTTCTGCTTCTCCCCCCCTCCCTTGTGACTTGAACCACCTCGCTTGTGAATACAACCACCAGGTGGAGGACCCAAGGGAGCACGTGCTGCGGAAGATAGAGGCCAGGACGGACGACAGCTTCATGGTCACCGCCGCCGTTGACGGATTCTTCAAGGTCTGCTTCAACAACCCACCCCAGCTGACCACGCTGCTGCAACTCTCGAGCCAAGAAGTAACACAGAGCGATGTGCTTCGTTCTGTGCTCCAGTCTGTGCTCCTGACACAAGGCAATGGCGGCCTTGTTGTCGACGTACAGCACTGGAGGAGAACGAGGCCGCTCTCCCAATTCGGTCAGCAGGTAGGTGAGCCAGCGTAACTCCTGTGCAGCCATGGCTGTGGCGTAGATCTCAGCCTCACAACTGGAGCTGAGAACTGAAGACGAGCGTGTAGAACGCCAAGAAACTGAACCAGAGCCAAGGCAGTGCGGTAGGGGAAAAGACGGTAAAAGGGAACCGACTCGTCGAACGTGACGTCCTGATAGGGGAAGACACGGCGCGAGGTGGGGTGGTAAAACTGCCAACCAGGCGCGTCACGGACAGCGCCAAGGAAGTCACAGGGAACAGCGCGGGCGGAGAGCTTTTCCGCGGTGGTATCGCGGACAAAGGCACGAGCACCCCAGACCCGGAAACGCGACGCATCGCCAACCTTCCCCGTCCACAGCAGTGTGGGCGAGGTCTCCGGCAAGGAGACAGGGGGCCAGAGGTTGAGCTGATGCGCGGCGTACCGGACCGCAAACGGCCACAGAAAATGGGGGGCAGCAGCATGGATCATGGAGGTACGAGCGACCTCCATGACTAAGCCAATGCGGCGCTCAGCAACCCCATTATGCTGCGGAGAGGCCGGAAGCGTGAACGTCTGGCGGATGCCGTGCTCCGCACAGAAGGCTGCCAAGAGGTCTGAGGAGAACTCACCACCTCTGTCAGAGTGCAGACGCAGGACAGGAAAGTCCGTCCCGAACCGCTCGCGGAGCTGGAGAAGAACAGCGCGGATCCAAGGGATCAAAACACCAGGGACCTCCCCCTTGCGCTGCAAGGGGAAGACCGTGGTGTAACGCGTGTAGTCGTCGACGACCAGTAGGAAGTACCGCTCGCGGCCCTGTCCACGGACGCGGGCTGGGCCCCACACGTCCAGGTGGAGAGTCTGCAGGGGAGCCTCTGTGGGAGGGAACGAGGAGGAGTGAGGAGCGGCGCGCTGCCGCCCCTCGACACAGGGAAGACAGGGAGGAGCAGGCGAGGGTGGGAGGGGAGGGAGAACCCTGGGAAGACCAGAGACAAGGACACGGCGGTGCAAAGGAGGGTCTGGTGCGACAAAGCGCGACACGAGCAGGGGGCCGCTAGCTGACCTGACGCAGACGCAGTCGCAGCGACCTGAGGGGACACGGTAGTCAGTGTGTACAAACTCGAGCCAGGCGCCAGTGACTTCAACGGGCTCAGCTAAGGGAGGAGGGTCTACCTGAGACACACCTGAAGGAGCAGGACCCTGAGGGGAGAGAGGGTCTACCGGAGGGGGACCTGGAGCGAGGAAGAGTGGCGGGGGGGGGGGGAGAGAGGTAGTGCGGTGGGGGAAGAGACGGTAGAAGGGAACCGACTCGTCAAAGGTGACGTCCTGGGACGCGAAGACACGGCGCAAGGTGGGGTGGTAAAACTGCCAACCAGGCGCGTCAGTGGGAAAGCCAAGGAAGACGCAGGGAATGGCGCGAGAGGAGAGCTTGCCCGCGGTGGAATCCCTAAAGAACCCACACAAATTCGTCTCTTCCCTGTGTGGTTTGACTTGTACAACTTGCTTTGTGCTGTGAGCAACTGTGAAGGTCCATCCGTCATAGCCTGCTCTTGCACATTTTGCAACATCACGAAGCATACACTGCTACAATATATCTGGTCATAGGGATGAGGCACTACATGCCCTACACATACATGCTATTAACATAACTAACAAATGCTACCCCAAGACCCCTAAGGAACCCCTTTTCACAAGAATTCTCCCCAGTTGTTGAGAATCAAGACATAAACCCTGCTCCAACCTAACACTACATCTTAATCAAACATGTTTGATTCCCAACAGATACTCAATGACCGTGATAAACCTCGCTGAAAGGAGGACCCCAGCTATGGCAGTCCCTTCCTCCACCATGGTGCGGCGCACACCTGCGCAAAATTACATCATGCAAGAAACGTTATGCATGTTACAGATTCTTTTCCACTTGTTTGAAACATTGCATCTAACAGAAAACTTACCACGCTGCATCTCCCTTGGCGTCTGGACATGGCCGCACACCTCACCAACGTCGCCAGCATCCGCAGTGGCCTGGGTAGCATTGGCATGCGCGTCCACGGGTGCAGGCTGGTGGTCTCCGCCTTGTTCCCTAGGAACTGGTCCCATGGTAGCTTCAACAGTACCCTCGCGGGCAGGTGCGAGTGGTGACGGGGCTGCCTTCGGCTCGGCGGTAGCCTCAGCTCCCATGGCGAACGGTGCAGCTACTGGTGACGGGGCCGCCTTCGGCGAGGCGGTAGCCTCAGCTCCCATGGCGAACGGTGCAGCTACTGGTGTCGGGGCTGCCTTCGGCTCAGCGGTAGCCTCAGCTCCCATGGCGAACAGTGCAGCTACGGGTGACGGGGCTGCCTTCGGCTCAGCGGTAGCCTCAGCTCCCATGGCGAATGGTGCAGCTACTGGTGTCGGGGCTGCCTTCGGCTCAGCGGTAGCCTCAGCTCTCATGGCGAACGGTGCAGCTACTGGTGACGGGGCTGCCTTCGGCTCAGCGGTAGCTTCAGCTCCTTCCGCGAACGGTGCAGCTATAGGTGACAGGGCTGGCTTCGGCTCAGCGGTAGCTTCAGCTCCTTCCGCGAACGGTGCAGCTATATGTGACGGGGCTGGCTTCGGCTCAGCGGTAGCTTCAGCTCCTTCGGCGAACGGTGCAGCTATAGGTGCCGGGGCTGGCTTCGGCTCCTGCTCAGAAGGCGCAGTAGTCGCCTCGGCATCTTCCGAAGGATCTGCAGCAACTGGGGGCGGGGCGAGCGCCCGCTTTTCCTGCTCTTCCTTCTTCATGTAATCCTCCAAAAGCAGCTGTTCACGTTCTTCTTGGTACTGTGCCTGAGTGTCCCCTTCATATCCTGCGTTCCTGGAGATCCTTGTCATAAAAGCCATGAATGACTCCACGCCGCGCACCTCACGCCCTCCGGCCACGGTATGCAGCGCATTGACAGGCTGCGCATGCGGGGTGACGTCGTCAGAGTCTACTTGAGAATCCATAGGCGGAGGACTATACTTAGCGCGTGAGATCTTCCTCCTAAGGGAGTAATCTGTGTAGTTCCGCTTCATCTAGCCTACTCTTGAAATCGGTCTCAAGCCCAAGCTGAATACGAAAGAGGATGTGATTGCTCTCTAATGTCCTGCACTTTATGTGGCGCGGGGTATCTGCGAGGCTGGTACCGACAGCGTCGGCCATTGAACCGGTAATGGAAAGAAAGACCCTATGTTAACCCAGTTTTCGGCGTGGCGCTTCCAGGCGATGCGCGCGAACAAGGCGCACCGATCGCTATAGTATTCGTGCTGTGCGTGAAAAGAGTTGCAGCTTCGATTCGTGCTGCCATTGCAAGTTCCTAGTACGTGTTGGGGTGTGGGGCTAATGAATGGACCGCCCGAAGCACCTAATAGCGGTGGTAACTCACGCGGGCAACTTTTGCGAGCCGCGCTGCAGCGACACCGAGTTGCCGATTGTGCATTGTTCTGAGTTGGCACAATTAGGGTTAGGGTACCCATTATCTGCTCGTTTCACACATGCGGAACGGCGACTCGGGATTGGCGACACTGGGTGTCCTGTACGCAACATCCCAGTAAGGGTCGGGGGTTGTTCCCTTATGGCGTGGTTTCAATAATGCATGGGTATTTTCACAAACGCACATTTTCGACTGTATAGGTATTCATTCGTCCACCCCTGCTTATACGCTAAGCATCTATAAAGGGTATAGATTTCAGAATTCAAATCCAAGTTCCCGCAAGTTGTCTTTCCTTTAGCGTTCCCATATACTAGGCCGTGCGTAACCCTAACATAATCAGCCACGTCTGGCGTCAGCATTCTGCTTACGATGCTGCGCATTTTCCCGCCCCTCCTTTGTAGAGCGGCCTCGTTTCACTGTTGGCGGGCCTCGACGATGACACCAACTACGGTCACGTCTGCCATTTGGTTAGGATCCCACCACCCTGTACCACATCGCAGTCTCGTCACTGAGTTTGCCGCGTGTAAAACACACTTATGCGCGCCATTTACATCTGGTAGTCGACCCTCCTATTCAGCTGTCGATTAGATGGATTGCGCGGAGACCTGTTTCTGTAGCGTCTGCGGCAAATGCTGCGCAAATGCACAAGTGCTGGGCAGGCACCTAGGTGGAAACTCGCCATGCGCGCCATGGCGAGGACGGCGATCACGGCGAGGAGCACCCGACCCTTCGACTCACGGAGGTGTCGGGGTCGTGTATGCCGTCCCTGCTCCTACCTAGAGGCGCAGCGTTAGACGTAGGGTGGCAGCTGCTGATAACAACACCTCGGCTAGCCCGCTATCGCACCATCCAGAGGTGAATCGCGATGCTGAGATGCCATCACCAGTGTCTGGTGGCGATGGGGAGACGAGCGCTCGAGAGGATATGCCCTCAACCTCCACATCCTCAGAGCCTGGGGAGGAGGGACCGTCGGTACCCCCTGCACCGCCTCCAGACTGCGGAGAGGGCACATCTGATCCATCAGGTCCCAATGTGAAGATTACCCCAGCGCTTCTCAAGTTGTTGTAGCTAGTGGACGGCGTGAATGGAGGTGACGGACTCTCAAAGATGAATACCAACCGACTACTGCAACTCCTCTTGCATCCCGAATTAACGAAGAATCTCGTCGACGCAAACATTTCCAACTCGCGGGATCTTGAAAGGCTCCATCTCGAGTACCTGGCAAGCTCAGGGCGCGGCTACATGACAACCACCATCGTGGTCAAGGGGTGGCCCGATCAGGTCATGCTGCACCGGAATCCACTTCACGTAAGTCCTTACTCTGTCAACCAATGTCTCTAACCGTTGCGGTCACGTCCCCCTTCATGGGAGTTGCCATTTCTGCCTTCCAGCTCTCTCCACCTCTCTCAGCATGTCGCCCTTCCCTCCTCTCTCCCATCGCTGTCATCCGTGTCTGGTTTCCCTCCTCTGAAATATCCCCTGCGGCCATCTCTCCCTTCCCTGCTCTCTTCCATGCATCCGTGTCTGGTTTCCCTCCTCTGAAATCTCCCTTGCGGCCATCTCTCCCTTCCCTGCTCTCTTCCATGCATCCGTGACTGGTTTCCCTCCTCTGAAATATCCCCTGCGGCCATCTCTCCCTTCCCTGCTCTCTTCCCAGCTCTATCCGTGGCTGGTTTCCGTACACTCACCCCTACTGCCATGTATCCCTTCCCGGCTCAACACGCTGCTGCCGTGTCTGCACTACATACTCCCTCTCCTGTCGTCTCCCTCCACTGAAATCTCCCCAGCTGCCATCTCTCCCTTCCCTTCTCTGCTCTCTCCACCGCTTTCCATGTCATGCCTCTATGTTCGTTTGTCGCTGCGTCCCTGTTTCCATGTCACACTGCCGTGGGACCGTGTCGCCTTGCTTCCCTACTGCTTTGTCCCACTTATCTGCTCCCTGGTCCCATCTACGACGCTCTCATGTCTCACTTTATTGCTCACATGGCTCACTTAAGTGCTAACGTGTCACCACTCTCGACAACTGACATGTCTCGCTTCTGTTCACCAATGTATAGCTTCTACGTTTACATCGCCTAGCTACACCGTCATGCTACCAGCTCTTACGTGTCAGTTCTTTGACTCGCTTACCATCACCCGTGCCACACTGCTATTATACCATGTCCTCGTGCCATTTCACTCATGTCCTAATCAACGTGACCGGTGTCCGACTTCTCCGGGTGCTATGTCTGCCCTGTATCCGCGTTTCCTGGCCATGTTGACATCTCATCCTGCATTTGTCTCATGCCAAGTCTCCTCATTAGTTGCCTTGCAGCCAGCAATTACCTCGTCGATTGGCCGTGTAATCTATGCCACCTGGCTGCCCCGCTGCTGCGTTACTCATCCTTGCTATGCATTGTGTGTTCTCGGTATGCTTGCTAATTTTGGGTTCTTTCTAGGCTTTGGCAGACATGTGGTCTGCCAAACAGAACGCACATGGCTTCCGCTTCAGGCCAAGGAAGGAGCGTGACCCAACTAGTCGACAGCGTGCATACACCACGGCAGAGACTGGGACATGGTGGCATGAGGCTCAGGTACGTTGCGTCTTGCTGTGCTTTGTCAAGGTCAGCGTTCGTAGTTCCTTTTTCCATGCGGTCGCTTGTCCTTCTCAGATTTGATTATTATATCCACCACCATGTGAATACATGGATTTCACATATTAACCCAGGGATGCTTTCAACACAACATTTGCTCGCAGGAAATGGTTGGCCCTGACGCTGTGATAGCGGCGCTCATTTTCTACAGCGACGTCACGCACCTCAGCAGTAATGGCAAAAAGCAGGCCCATCCAGTTATGATGACTCTTGGCAACATCCCATTCCCCAAGCGGTGGGGTCCGGCAGGGCACTCATTGCTAGCACTACTCCCTATACCTCCCAAAGGCATGCCAAATGACTTGAAGGTTGAGCTCTTCAACGTTTGCGTGGCAAAGTTGATGGAACCGCTGGTTCAACTGAAAGAAAGGTAAGTTGCGGTGTTTTGCAGTCATATGTGCGTACATATGTGCAGTCTGTTGGTAGTTCGCTGCCCCCAGGACATGAGGCTCCTGTCTAGTCTCAGTCCGGTCTCGTATATTTTTGTGTGTCATTTGATGTGCAGGGGTGTACTCCTGAAGGATGCGAACGGTGTCGAGCACAAGGTGATACCGCTGATGCTCGGGTGGGCATCTGACTACCCAGAATCGGGCAAATTGACAGGCACACTCTCCGGCCAGCGCTGCATGAAGCCATGCAGCATTTGCTACGTGGATAGGGTAATGTATTTTACGGTAATTCAGTGAGTTGGTATTCTGGCGCACACACACACCTGCCGCATGAGTAGCAACAAATACTCATGCCCATCCCCCCCTCTCACTCAGCCCCATCAACCGTTGACACCCAGGTGTGGAGTAAGGGGCGAACGGGTTCCCTTTCAAAGCGCCAAGGCGCCAGTGATGCACGTGCTGCCACCTGCCTGTAGCAACATGTAATCCTCTTCCCCTTCTTACTTTCCATCCTCAACCCTACCACCCTCTGCCACACAGGTGTCGTGCAGGGCGGAAACGGGATCCTTTTCACAGCGTGTGTGCCGCACGTGCTCCCACCAGCCCTTAGCATCTTGGAAGTCGGATCCCCACTCCCCTTAATACCTCCTCCCCTTCGTCCCACTGCCCTCTAGGTGGGGGAGCCGGGGATAAATGGGTTCCATCTCATAGAGCCTCTTACTCTCAATATGGCATGTCTCAATCCGTTCCTTTGTACTATGGTCTCCTATCGTCCCTAGGCCAAAGTGTGGCCGAACTTTTCTCGGTACGTTTTTCATATCGCGGCAGGACAATCTCTCTTCAGTCAACATGAAAACACATTGTACGCACTCCAGAACAGCAACAGTGGGTGTTGTCGCAGGCGGAGGGGGAGACATCTGATGATGACAGCATTTTGTCGAAATATTCGACGTTCGACGTTGAGGTGAGCCCTACCAGGGGTCTACAGGTTGGGGCAGCAGGTTCGGTTGCATAGTTGTCTATGTTTCCTGGACTTCTTCAGTGGTTCCGTAAGGTGTTGTTTTCCAGCGATTTGAGATTCGTGCATAGCTATAACTTGTGTTGACCATATACTGTTGCATGTTGATGCGTGGTCACTTCGGTGTAGTGCTGCTAAAACATTCACTGAACCCTATACTGCTTCACTTTGTTTGGCAGTGCGCACTGTGGCAATGGGCTATAAATGGCCAACCATGGGCGAACCCCTATCTAGCAGTTATGCCGGATATCATGCACATGGCGGATTTGGGAATTCTGGACCACATTATCAAGTGCATTCGCAAAGCAGTGCCGAGGGCGGTGAAGAAGCTAGATAAGTACGTTGTTGGCCAATGGGCAGGGGATCTTGCCATGGCAAGATGCATCGTGCAACCAGCACTCACTCGGTTTTGACTCTTAGTGTGGACTGGGCTTGTCATCCAATGTGGCAGCCACTTATTCAATCCCCCACAACAGGAGGCTTAAAACGGTCC